CTGTTCGTACATGTAATCTCGGAAATCATCAAGTCGATCCTTATGCTCGACTGACGGTGGATCGGAGCCTCGGGGAAGAGTCTCGATAGCCAACGCAGCCTGAGCACACCGATGCGGCGGAAGAGACGTGTAGCGTATCGGTGGGGTTCCTCACGTGTGGCATGATGATCAAAGGCGGATCCAGTTGATCCGCCATTGGAAGACCCGCTAGGACTCGGAGCTTGGTCGACGTTGGACACTGGTGAAGTCTGCGAAGGGCGGGAAATAAGAAAAGTGTCTGCAGTGATCCTGATTGGGCAGCAACGACTACAGACAGGAGGCGATTGTGGTGAAGCGATTTCCAGAAATTTGCAGACAGGAGGTGACCGGATCGAGTCGAGTGACAGGTAACCCCGGATCTACGGTAATTACCCTGGATCCAGATCTGAGAAGGTATGATGGACTCAGATCAATTGATTCGGGGATAATTGAGTCAATCTGGGGTGACCTAATTATATGCGCCTGATCTGGGTACGACTATACCTGATCCAGACATGATTACTCGGGACCGATTCGGATCAAGTAAACAAGGTATATAATCTGCAGTGTACTCCAAGACCCGAAGATAAGCGACTGTTGAGAAGGAAGGTACATGGATCCAGGTAGTAGAAGATAGGACAAATCAGGATCAAAGGCCTAGGAATATCAGAGAATCGAATTTGCATCATTGGGCACAAGTGGCTGATTTATTTATTTAATCCACACTTAGGGTACTACGGGCACCTCGGATCAAAGGTGATCTCGTAGTAGGAATATTGTATTTAGTGTAGTTTGAATAACTGGATAATATATTGGCCAGATCCAACTACCTAGTACTTATTCTATTCGTGCAAGCTCCGGATCCACGGCATCTTGTGCTTGGTCGTGCGATCCATCGATCTCTCAACTCCCCCAAGATCCAGTCATAGGAGACACCAAGCAACTCAAAGGGATGGCAAGATCAACCCAGCCCAACACATCAAGGCAACCTACACGGCCAGATCCAAGATCCGCCACCGGCGATCCACGTTCGACTACTCACGTGGACCCCGGATCAACTTACCTGGCAACAGAGCGAATGCTTTCTGCGCTGTTTAGCACATCCCTGCGTCTCATCAAGACATTCAAGATCTTCAACACTTCAATCTCTCCTGCCGTTACCGGAAGAGCAAGATTCAGCCCTACCGACGGGTACACAAGGTGAGGAAGTTCAGCTGATCACGGATAAACAGGAGTACCCCCTCCTATAGTCGGTGTCCTGGGCACAGTGGCAAGCCGGATTGAGCCTTCTCAAGAATTTTGCCATCCCGCTCAACCACATTATCACACTCGTTCAGGACGCGTAGCAGCGCTAGGATTTCCTTCTCGGCGATGCTGTACTGCAACTCGTTGGGCTTCAACGTCCGACTGGTGAAGTTGACGGGCAGGTATATCCCGTCGTGGTCTTGGGAAAGGACGGCCGACACGGCCCAGTCCCTCGCATACACGATTACCACCGGCTGCTTATCCGTGTCGAAGTGTTTCAACACGGGTGTAGTCGCGATCTTACTACAGAGCGTATCAAACGCGCGTTCCGCGTGAGTCCACTTTTCCAGATCACGCGTCTCAGGATTCGATCTCCGTTCTTAAAAGTCGCGAGCGGTGAAGGAATAGAGCGCGGTCGCGTAGATCGGGAAGTCCGGGATAAAACGATGGTAATAGTTAAGACTACCAAGAATGAATGTAGACCCTTCTGCGTACGCGGGAACTCCAGCGTCGAGAGGACTTCTAAGCTTTCCGGCTTCGCCCTGACTCTGTCTTCCGACACTTCATGACCCAGGTAATCCACCCTCGGCATTCCCCATTCACTTTTCCCACGCTGATCGATAAATGTCATTACTCACTGACTTCAAGGAGACGTTCCACCTTCTTGCACAGGTCGTCCCACGACGCACTTCCGATCAAGATATCATCAATGTACGACCGCCGACTTAAGACGGACCTCGTCCAGGCTTTGACGTCTCTGAAAACGTCGCGGGTGTTCCCGATCTGTCGAATGTTGACCCGCGCACTTGTGACAGGTGAGTAAGCTTCAGCAGCCCCCCTCCGAGTGGCGGCGTGATCCGCAGTGTCGGCACTTGGACCGGTCGTGGACCATTCCACCCATCCCAAAGTCGCGACGCGCGTTCTCCTGCTGTGGTGCATACCCCGTCACAAACATCTTGGCCCGCTCTTCGTCGTCCCGATCTTGGTAGCAGATCTGGTCGTCGTCATCTGGACTGCATGGACGGCTCTGGCCGGCGTCGGTGTTGGCGTCGGTGCCTACTGGCGGAAACGGTTTGAGCCGAAGCAAGTCTTCTTCTGGTAAGCTAAACCACGTTGTCGCGCGCGAAGCTTTTTCTCCAACGTGGACGTGTTCGGGGACTTCTATCAATGTGAGGCGCGACGCCAATTCCTGCTCATGTGCACGCAAGGTGTTGATGAACAGGTCGACATACTCGCGTTTCTCCTCTGGCGTTTCATCGGAGTAGCGGATCTTCGGCGTCTCATCAACATGTTTGGACGCGTGGTAGTAACGGCTGGCCATAGACACGCATTTACCCCAATACTGAACACAGAAATGCTCCATCAACTCGGTCCATGATTTCCTCGCGGGCTTCTCCAGTTGCAGATATCATTGGCACGCCGGACATCCGATCGCCGAAGAGCGCGTACACCTCGTCGCCCGTCTTTCTATCGCGTCTTGACGCGGACTTCAGACGGTTGAACCAGGCACGGGCTTTCTCCTCATTGGCGTCTTTCCCGTTGAACTCTTTCAGTTCAGAAAACGCTGAGACGCGCACTCGCGCGACCCCGGCGCCGTGGCTGTGGACACAGCGACAGAAGTTCCCGTTAGACCGGCATCTAGATCAAAACAATCGTCTGGGTCCTCGTCTTGGCCTCGTTTGGAACGGGACGATGAGTGCGAGCTCACGGACTCCATCGCAACGTCCGTCGGCTCTTGGGGAGCTATGTCGACCGTAGTATGACGGGGCACGGGTGTCGTACTCGCGTAGCGCGGGGCAGATGATGTCGTGCCGGGTGCAACCTGCATCCTCGTCGACTGCATCAGGCGGATGATCGCGTCTTCCAGGGCCTTGGGTATCGCCCCTTCAGAGGACGGGTTTTCTGGCTCGGCCGGGATCGCAGCGAGCTGCATCACCCGTGGCGGTCGGCGCATCCACATCCGCTTCGGGGACTTGACGCCGCTCTCAGAGCCTTCCCTCGACGCATACTCCGGTGGAGGTTAGACAGACAGCGTCCTGGACTTACGATCTTGGATCGAGGTTGTCTTACGCTCGATTGTCCTAACCAAAACCGTGAGTGGATCGAGGATTGCGAAGTTCGCGTTCGTCCACGACTCCTAGTTCCAGTCATGCACCCTCTCTGTAACGGGGTTACACGAAACTCTAACCATAACGCTAATTGGTTAGCGTTAGAGGTTTCCCGTCTTGGTGTGTTCACACACCAAGCCTGCATTTAAATGGATCCTATTGGTAGAGTTCGCCACACCTCTACCAATCAACGATGCGAATCACTGTCAGCTACTCGCTGACAGTCCCTTAGATATTTGATAAACAGTTTAGGAAGGAAACCCTTTAACAAAACAATACTGTTCTCATTTTACGCTATCTTGTTCCTATCTTGTCTTACCGTACACACGCATCGTGTGTACGCTATACAACTTGGGAACACCTACGCTTCCTCCTACATATGCGCACACGTGTAAGCTAACTAGTGAGCCCTAGGCCCACTACACCTGGTAGCACTTCGTAGTCCGTCCAACGACCGACTACGTTGTTCGTATGAGTTACGAACACGGGCAAGAGAATCTTCCGATGGACGGGTCGTCCGTCGGAAACCCGATCACGTCTGTTACGCATGTGGCGCGTACAGACTGCATCCACCTGGCGGACCCAGTGTGGGAGGCGCTCCAACGACTATCAACAGTCATTGGGGAGGCAGCCGTAGCGACAATGCTGCGATCGCTATCGCGGACAGAGCAACATGGTGTTGCTCTGGGATTCATCATGAGAGAGCAACGCGAGGTTGCTGCCGCAAAGCCAGTGTCTCCGGGGGAGACACCGCGGAAGGAATACCTTAAATTACGTGTTAGTAACTACATGGGCAGAGAAGGCGAGACCCTTCTCCGCTGGATTGTCGAACTTGACACTGCCGTACTGGCTCGACGTCTCGTCGACCCATTGGCGAAAGTTGTCTTCGCCATGTCTTGTCTTGGCGGACGCGCGAGGGGTTGGACCTACGGGCGCCGACTCACTGATCCTACGTGCTTCAGCACGTACGAGTCTTTCAAGGAGGAACTCAAACTCGCGTTTGAGCCCCCACAGAACGAGTTCCGGTCGAGAGCGGAGTTTCTCGACCTGCAACAGGGTAAGCCTGATGTACATGCTTACGCTCCACGAGCTCGGTACTTGGTCTCGAACGTCGTGACCGACCCGATGGACGAGGCGACCAAGGTCGTAACGTTCATGAAGGGGTTGAGAGATGGGCCTGTGAAGACCTATCTCTTCCGATAGTACCCGAGTACTCTCGAAGCTGCGATTACCCTCGCAATGCAAGAGGCGTTTAGCCTGAAATAGGCTAAACTGCACACGAACGTGCCACGCCCGCCTCGGCCAGCTGCTAAGACGGAAGGTCCTGAACCAATGGATCTTTCGTATGCATCCGCTGTCGGATAGCAGAAGAACAAGGGAAGCAACGTGCGATGCTTTCGGTGCGGAAACATGGGTCACTACGCACGTGAGGGTACGGCACCAGTACACTCAAGCCAAGGTTGACGTGGCGATACTTTGTATCGTCACGGGCGAACAAAAAAACGCAAGGGACCAGTAGGCGCGGGGCGCCCTACTGGTAATGCAGTTACGCGTGTCTACAACGGACACGCGGTATTGAGGACTGCAGCCCCCAGTGAGAGGGAATTTCACTGTGAAGTACAAGATGACATGCCAAACCTTGTCATCTTGAAGGTGAAGTCGATGACGAAGAGAGCGGACTCTCTTCGGGTGTTGGTGGACTCTGGCGCGACGAACAACTTTGTTCGACAGCAAAGTCTACCGTTGTTGGACTTCGAGGAGAAGCATGTGCCTCGAAGTCAGTTGGAAGTACGATTGGCAACAGGTGCCATCGTGAAGACCGAGAAGCGCGTGATTCACGCACGCTTTTCGTACAAACACCGGGTGTTTGTAGAAGAACTTCTCGTCCTGGACATGGATGACAAGTTCGACATGATGTTGGGCATGCCGTGCCTTGCACGGCATGATCCTATTATCGACTGGGAGAGGCGTACGGTCGTACGCTTCGGATGTCGCGGCGCAACAGAGAGCGATGGCCCTGTTAGCGCAGCGAATACACCTAACGGTGCATCCGAACCTCCTGCAGAGACAGTGGCTTGCGTCGGAGTTGATCTCGCTTCCAGTCATGAGCTGGAAGGGCTTCGCAAAGGACCTGTACGATGGACGCATCGAACAGCTATGCATTCTTTCGGACCGCGAAAGAATGACAAGTGAAGCAGAAAAGTTGAGCCAACTCTTCGCTGGAAGCGCCACTGAGAGTGAAGATATTCTCAGTGCCAAGACGAAGAAGGAACGCTTCGAGGAGCAGCGTTGGGACTCACTGAAGTCGAGTCCCTATTACGAGATACTGCGAGAGCACAGAGACGTACTCCCGGACGAGATCCCTGCGGAGATTCCGCGGGAGAAGGGAATACAACACGATATTGATCTCGTGCCGGGGACGAAGTATTGCGTGACGCGGCAGTGGCCACTGCCGCAGGATCAAGTGAAGGCAATCGACGACTTCTTCGAAAGTCGTCGCAAGGCAGGACAAGTGCGGGAATCAGAGTCCACGCACAGCGAACCAACGTTCTGTGTCAAGAAGCCACAGGGTGGTTGGCGCATCGTTCATGCGTACAATAAGCTGAACGATGCGACGATACCGGCACAGACGCCGATACCTCGAAAAGATGTCATCATCGATTCGATGTCCAAGGGCACCATCAACAGTGCTCTTGATCTGAGAGACGGGTCCTATCAGATCCTGATGCGTGAGAGCGATATCCCTCTCACGGCGGTAAGCACCCCAAGCGGTATGCTTTGGGAGTGGCTAGTTATGCTGCAAGGACTGAAGAACGCCCATGCGACTTTCAATAGATGCGTCACGCATCTATTGCCTTCGGTGCGCGACTTCGCACCGAGCTACTTCGGCGACTTCGCACCGATCTAATTCGACGATGTGTACGTTCACACTCGTGAACGAGAAGACGGACGTCGAGATACACAAGGAGCATCTCTGGGCACCGCTTGGGCTCATGCGCAAGCACAAGCTCTATGCGAACCTGAAGAAGTGCATCTTCGGTGCGAGCGAGATACCCGTGCTTGGGTGTCTC